AACTTATTAACTATTTACACGAATTACTATTCGGCGACGTGCGACGCAAACAAGTGTCATGTATCGTTCCTCTGAACCGCCGGAATATGACACCCTTCGGCCAAAACTCTACCTGCATGAAGGTCGACAGATGGACCGTTGGGACCCTCACCACAAACGAATTAAAGTTAACGTTGTGGCGAGACTCCAAACGTTCGACCCTCAGGGTGAATTGGGCTTTCAACCGGATATACTCCACTATATCCTCAGACTTCGTGGAGTAATGCAGTCGAGACAGGTACAACTGCGTCGTCGGTATGGCCGCACGAAGCAAGAAGTTCTGTCCCGTTGGAGCTGTGCCACATAGATTTCGGCTGGTGGGTTTCTTTCTTCTCTTCTCCACCTTTGTGAAGCCGTCCTCGTCGCACCTGTCGGTCTGCCTCTGAGATTTGGCACCTGCGATTCCAGAGACAGGCATTCGGGGTTTACTACCGCCCTTTGCAGTTTTCCGCAACTCGGGTTTTGAAGTCGCGGTTCCGCTGCTAATAGTCGCGGCAACAGCGGCGTATGCACGCCCGGGCGATGACGTGCATACGGGTGACGTAACCTCCGAGGCGGAGGGGCGGGCAGGGGGGCACGGTGCATTGACAACAGCAATGACCGGCGACATACGAGCCGACTCAATACTGCCGACGGATGCTTTTCGCGCTCCGCGACGCGTGTTGACGTAGGAGACTGTCGGTGACCTACATACCGAAGCGGGGTTGCGTAACAACGCAACTTCGGCACGTAGCCCACTTATGGAGTTATCCGACGCCTCCAATTTTGACTGAACTTCAGCCAAACTCGACTTCAAGGACGTGATGTCCTTTAACAGCCTGGTGACGTCGACGTGGTCAAAGGTGACCGGAGGCAACTTGTGCAGCTCCTTCGCCACGAAAGTAGGCACGTCGTCCGGATCGGTATTCTTCTAGAATGCAGTAACATCCTGGACACTCTTCAAGCCTCCATCCCTCCGACGAGATGGCATCTGCTGCGCTTTGCCGCAGCTCTGGAACAGCAGCATCTTGCCACTGCAAATCTCGTCTTCGTTGAAATTAGATTTGCAGATCTGCTCGATGCTGACTTCATCCATTGTGTCGATGGCATTCTGCACGAATGCCAGAAACTCATTGACAATGAGTTGTTGGGAA